AATGTAGAAAGAATGTTGAAGAGGAAAGGATGTGACTCAATAATTCCACAAATGCACAAATGGCTAGAAATTCATTCAAGTGTGAAGGTAGCAAAAATAATATTAACACTAAGTACACTAGAATACATAAATCTATAAACTGGTTCTTCGAAAAAAAAATTAGACAAATCACTAGCTAACAATTTAATTTTTAAAATGGAAGACATAAAATGTAAAATTTGAAATAAGAAAACACAAGTAAGTTCAAATAACAAGGAAGTACAGGCTTCTGGGTAAAAGTAATGAAATGAAGCTGTATTACTTATACTCTAGGTAGTCAAAAGACTCCAAAATACAGTGACTTAAAATAGAAGTTTGATTCCCTCTTACTTAGTCGTCCAAAGGTAAGCAGTCCAGATCTGGTAGAGTGTCTCTGCCATACTCAACATGTGGCTTCCATCTCTGGGTTCCAAGGTGGCTGCCCAGCTCCTACCATCACGTTTGCATCCTGGCCAGGAAGAAGGGGGAAAGGGAAGGGGACTGCACACTCATTCCTTTTAAGGGTATGACCTGGAAATGGCATAATCACTTTTGCTCACATCCTATTGGTTGGAATTCAGTCACATGGCCACACCCAGCTACAAGGGAACCTGGGAAATGTAGCTTTTAGCTGGGTGGCCATGAGCCCAGCTTGCACTGGGGGAGTCTATAATTTATTATTTAAGGATGACGGATACCAGTGGATAATCAGCAGCCTCTGCAAAGAAGCCAAGTCACAGAATTACTCCCTCTGACATCCACAGTAAGTACAGAGTAATTTTTTTTAACAGGAAAAATTTAATTAGTGACAAACTAATAGGAAAAGAGGTTAAGTGGTGGCCGAAGAATACAGAGAACAGAAAATCCGGTATAATAGAGAAAGCAAGCTAGTTAATATAATTGTGTGTCTTTTCACAAATTAACACCCCCTTTTCATTCCCCCCCACCCCCACCAAATTGAGAGAGGCAGCCTGAGGGAGTGAGTAATCAGCTCAGAGAAAACAACAGTAAGAAAAATCTTCAAGAGTAGAAGCCCCTATTTATTACAGCGTTGTATCAGCAGAGGCAGAAAAGCTCAGCTGGGTTTGCCATTTTTGAGATCTTCAGGCTGAATTGACAAAGATTACTCCATGAGAACAGGATACACCCTCAACTACAGAAGAGGACATTTAAAAACTGTCAGGAGACAGCACAGCCCAGGTTCTCACTGGACAGACAGACCCCGAGAGATTGGAGATGAGAAGTGAGTTGGAGTGCGGGTAGGACAGACAGGATGTCACAGTGGGATTGGGGAGGGCGGAAAAGAGCCCGAGGAGCAGGCGATGGCACCGCTGGAATTGTACTGCGGTGCGGTTGATGCTGTCAAGGGCTTGCTTCCCTGAGAGCTAGGGAGAGGTTGTGGGGCCAGCAGAGCAAAGGAGCCTCCAGGAGCAGCCGAGAAAGTGGAGATAGCCAAGGAGGACAAAGAGTATCATCAAGGTCCATAGGGCAGTATCCAGGAGAAGGTCAACACCCCAATACAGTGGTTCTCTACCCTGTCAGACCCAAGTCCCTTTTTCATGACGAATATTTTGTAATACCCCTTTTACCATTCTGAAATAAAATTCAGTGACTATAATGCACCTAAATGTATATTAAAAATCGATATGTTGCCCCAACTGAAATATAAAGGGGAAAAACTATATAATTAAAATATGTATGTTCCAATGTAAATGCTTGTGCATGACGCTATTAGAAGTCACAATGAAATCTAATCGGAAGCTTGTGCCCAGAATGCCGTAGTTACCAAAAAAAGTCCCGTAAACGTGTATTGAATTGGCTACTGAAAAATAGTAAAACTCCACTATAGATTTATAAGTGAGGTCCCAAATAGTCAATCGGGTTGGGGTGGTGTTATTGTAAAGTTAAATTCCTGGGGTTAACTTGCTCAGCCTTGGGACTGGGAGGTGCAGATTCAATCCATTGGAGCCTCCTCAGCTGTGGTGTGGCGCCACCTAGTGGCATGTCCGCTCTACTTACATAGGCGTGTGAAAGAATCCGGGTCTCCAGGCTGCTTGGGCCCCTGGCTTTAGCAACTAGGCTGGGGTGAGCAAACTACCAAAGGTCTCGATGATGGCGGCTGACAGGAATGGGCATGAGGGGGACTGACTCTTTCCTGTGAGAACATACCCGGAGGCCATTGCTTTATTGCACTTTGAGAATCACCAGCTGCCCAAAGCTTATGCCAAGCTGTTCTGGACTTTTCTTATCTGTGAAATATAGTTCATAATGACAACCCTCACACACAATTATGAGAATCACATTAGATTGTAGATGTGAAGACACTTAAAAATGCAAAGCATTGACAAATGGCATGTCCTGAGTACGAGTGACAATCCCATACCACTAATTGCCACATTCTTCTTGCATCTAGATACGGTCCTTAAATGGCAGTGAGGGGAGGGATGGATGTGACAGAAATTCCTTTCCTTCTTTGTGCAAAGCCAATGTACTTAACTGGAGACTTTAGGGGGCTAAAAACCAATTCAGAAAAAACAAACTATCTATGAATG